ATAATTACATACATTATGGGGTTGGTGCCCCAAAATCCAATGGCTAATCATCATCTTGCCTATACAATATGGTCATTTACGGGGATATCCGATATATACTTACCATTACTTACCCTATTTTCACACACCCACCCGTATATGTTTATATTTTGTACATTGTCTACAACACACATGGGGGTTTCTTAACATTGGGGATCCCCAAAATGGATCAACATGGATGGTTGAAAAAATGGACAATCCGACAATCCGACAACAAAACGGATGATTTTTCGTGGTAACCCCATGGCCCATTTTAGGAAAGCTCCACTAATATTGTGTCATAGACCACCTCTATGACAGGCGGTTTATCAAGGTCCATCCCCACCTCTTCCGGACGATGTCGGCCTGGTGTAGATTGCTGTGAGGCTGGATGCTTGTGACCCTAATGTGACACGCTAAATAATACACAAGAGAATAAACATCAAAATAAACATATGAAATAAAACAACATAAAACAACTATTTCATGTATAGGTAGCATGTGTATTTAGTATTTACATAGGACGTAGCTAGAAGAATGGCAGGTAGGTATTTAGCAATTCTAGAGGCTGCGTATACCCAAAATGATCCAAAAATTCAATATCAAGAACTGACTCAGAGCTTGGCATCCTGCCTTTCGTAGATATTTGCCACATGCAGGACAGAAGTTGTTTCCCCCTTTGAACAACTTCACCTGCATTGCTGCCTGAAGAATAATCTTCACCTGTCTTCGCCAAATTCAGGTCATCACTCGATGAAGGGATATCGGATATCAGAGAAACGCAGCCAACACCGGTGCGCACGCTGCAATCAAGTCGTGGACAGGCGACAGGAACGGAATCTGCCGAATCATCGCAGCTTGAGGGAAATCTCTCACGCCACGAGGGCGCTTTTTGCGGCCACGTTTTGCCAGCGGGTTTTGTAGGGCTCTCTGCAACACCAGTGACACCGGTGACACCAGCGAGTTTGAATCTGCAATTGCTGCAATGTTTGCAATCCTTATGACTGAGCTGAGCCGCAAGTGTGCCACGCTTTGGAGCCAGGTGTACTTGAGGCCTGATACATCACTGCCCCTCCCAGTCTGCTGTTGCTGCCAATGTTGGACTCCAAAAATGCTCCAAAAATGACCGAGGCCATCGCCCTCATGTCAGCCGGCATGACCGGCATGGAGCACAAGCGTCGAAAGTTATACTCGGCACTTTGAAGATTCGCTTCTTGCAGCATCACAGCCAAATTCAATCGAACTTTGGGAGCATCTGCCACGTCATCCAACCCTGCTTCTCAGCCAAATGCAATGCTGTCTGGTAGTGCTGGATTGCCACTGACTTCAAACCAGCAGCTCATCTCAACTGTCCCCGCGTGGCATGAGCATGCCAATAGGCAGGATTCAGAGATGTTGCGATTTCTGCATGCCGGCTGGCCTCTTGCAAGTTCCCTCCACTGTTCTGTAGCCTTGTCGCTAGCAAATCATGTAGTTTTTCTTTCCTAGAATTCGCGTCAAGACCAGAATGGTAAAGCCCCTCAGCTGTCCACCAAGCTTTGAAAAAGAGGTTGCAAGCCCCCGATGAAGGCAAACCCTCTCTGGAAGAGTCTTTCCTGGTCAGCGAGCAGCCACGGGAAACGCAAGAAACATCAGGAAACCGAAAAACAAAAGAACCCAAATTCTCCAATTTGCTCTGCGCCTCTGGCATGTGTGGCCTTCTGACAAAGGTTGTTGGGAACTTCGCTGGTTTGAAACATACTCAATAAGACAAGTTTCTGCCAACTTTCAACAGTGGAGATCCATAGATCACCCATGGCAGGAGAACTCTCACATCAGCGAAGCTTGTCAGCAATGGAATAGATTGATGGCTCCAATCACAGCAAAGTGGCCATGGCCAAACCAGCAATCGCAAATGCCTCCAGGGACACGAAAAAATGTCAGCTGTTGAAAAAATATCAGCTCCATCTCAGCACTTTCTGTAGCAATTATATATATATACAGTATTTTATATATATATATATATGTATGTATATATATATGTATGTATATATATATATATGTATGTATATATATATATATATGTATATATATATATATATATGTGTATATATATATGTATGTATATATATGTATACATATATATATGTGTATATGTATATATATATATATATATGTATATGTATATATATATATGTATATGTATATATATATGTATATATATAATATATTATATATATTATATTATATATATTTATTTATTTATTTATTTATTTATTATATATATATATTTATTATATATATACATATATATATATTATATTATATATATATATATTATATATTATATATTATATATATTATATATTATATATATATATATATTATATATATAACTAAATCCTGGGTGACTAGTGGAAAACTGAAGACAAGTCAAATCGATGGCACTGCCTGAACAAGTAGTAGTGCAAGGTGAAAAATCTTGTCTGCAATATCTTCTGCAAAAGCACCAAGATTGGCTTCCGGATGGCGCGCCTCAGGATTTGACAACACTCAAGAGATTGCAACACAAATGTGACGCGGTGGCTGGACCAGTGGTGAACATGTCAGTGATCCCGTGATCCCCATGTGATTCTTGCACGACCACCGACCACCCGGCCTGTGGTCCGCCATGGTCCGCCATGGTCCGCCATGGTCCGCCATGGTCCGCCGTTCAAGAGTAGGCGTAGTGGCGTAGTGGCAGCAAAAGCAACAGAAAGAGTGGAGGCAATGAAGGCAGTGGAGGCAAGGCTTTCAGAACTTTCCATCTGGAGTATGTTTGTCTGGACATACAGTCTATGAGCTGGAAAAATGAACACAATGGCAAGGCCACAGTCGCAGCCGCTTCCTTGCAGAACAGGGCGCCAGCTGCCAGAACAAAAGACAGCGGCCAAAGTAAAGGTACCAGTATGTGCAAAAGACTCCAAATAGTCATTAACGCAGCAAGCAGCTGGGCCCGCCCCACAAGGCTTGCAACAGCTTCTACATGTACTGGGTGACAAGCAAAGAATAGGCTTGCAAGGAACGACTCCCGCACAGAGAAGCCGCTAAGGTCTGGAACAAAAGGACCAAGGATGCGGTGTTTAGGCCATGCAGGAAGACATTCCATTGATGCATCACGTTGGCAGTACGCACTAAGTCTGCTCCACCATTGGTCCGGATCATTTGCCAGCGAACGTCAGCGTGGTCAGCGGTCGATAACTTTTGTGACTCTTCTCAGATTCCAGCGGGAAGCCCCAAAAATCATGCTCAAACAAGGCGTACCATGGCTGTGACGAGTAGACGTCTGGATTCTGAATGATTGCGTACATATCGTCAAAAAATGTCAAAAACAGACTCGCCTTGCAGGTCATTCCTTGGTGAAAAAGCGCAGTCAACTGGGCTCAACTGACCTTGGTTAAAATCTGTGCATGTCATCATTGGCTGATGGCTCTTGTGTCAGCCAAGGCTCATGAAAACAACACAGGCAACGGTACCTGCGATCCCTCCAAGAAATGCCAGCTTTCCGAAGTTCTTCCAGGTCTGCTTGGTCTGCTTGACAATGCCCCCAGTCAAGTTGCTTCCAAATTCATGATCTGTCCATCAGCTTCAACTTCAGCTGCAGCATGCAGCTTAGCAGCAAAGTCTCAGCATGGCAAATGTCCTGATCAAGCTGCCATCCGACAACAGCACGGCAGCGTCTTGCTGTGAACCAACTTTGCGGAGCAAGAGGTGTATCCACATGCATCTATGCATCATGCACTTCAATGATCTTCAATCTGTTTTTTTTGGTGCTGGCAAAATCGCAGAAAGTGCTATGAAACTGGACAGCTTCTTTTAAAACCCCAGCCTCAAAGGTGGCCCCATGCAAACGAGGCACCTCAACGAGCCAGCGGCAGACAGCGCGTCTGAGCAAAACTTTCAAAACAAGCAACTCTCAGAAGTCGCGGAAGCCCCTTTCTGACTTCAAACGCACCATCCACAGACTGCGGTTTCTTTTGGCGCCGGGATGGCGCAAAGCCGGATCTCTCAGTGCTGAGCGAAGTTGGCCCAGGTCTCCATGCTCGAATTATCCGAAGCACAAAGGTCGGGTGACAAATGGTGACAACGCGGTGAGGCACGACGTGGCCAAGAGGATCACCCGGAGCTGATTCGCTGGTGAGAGCTGGGTACGTATAACATTGAATTTTATCAAACAAAACCAAACAGATTCAGATGTTTGAATCTCAACATGAAAAACTTCAGTTGTTGGGACATCAAGATCGATACTGACAGCGAATCAACTCCAAGCCTTGAGACTTCTGAGTTTTCATCCAATGGATATCACCGCTCATGGGTGTCACCATCTTCAGACTCCGGCATCATATTTCGCGAATGGTTTGGGGAGGGCGGGGACTTGGAGCAAATTCCATCACATGTCAACTGGTATACATTGGCCAGTCGCAACCACAGCAGCCTGAACTTTGCACATCTGCCGAAATCCGAATTTGGGGCTGAGCAGCTGCTCAGATCAATTTCACCTGACCAGTTGCCCGATGATTCTGGCAGGTTCTGTTTTTGTGACTGGCAGTCAAACAGAGCAACTGGATGCCACAGAAGAAACTTGTATGTGTTATATATATATATACCAATGATTTATGCACATATACGTGTATGCATATATACACACATATACATACACAGACATATAGCAGTGTACTAGTGTATATGTATATGTATATGTATACGTATATGTTTATGTTTATGTTGATGTATATGTATATGTTTATGTTTATGTATATGTTTATGTATATGTATATGTTTATGTATATGTATATGTATATGTATATGTTTATGTATGCATGTACGTGTATAGTGTATATATATATATATGTGAGTAAATATGTATATACGTATATGAAATCATAAATATGAATATATAATGTCTAAGAATGAGCTCATCAAATTGTACAAATCTACGAGTCACCAGTAGACCAACCTACAATTCACGTACGGAGCACGCACCTCCATGACTGCCTGGACTTGAACCACCCCTCCCCCCCCGAACCTGCATCGGCTATGCTGCGTACAAACCTGCAGGGTCTGCTGAATGGAAACTGCTGATAACTGTTGGTCCGGAAGATGAACCATGGATATCTACATTATCCATCCATAGCTGACCATTAGCATCTTGTATTGTTTCTTGTGGCCTTTCACCACAAGCTTCTCATACTCGTCATAGCTCAGCTTCTGGTCCTTGTTCAGGTCAGCACCTCAACGACAGCGCCCTTTGAAGGCAGGGAGATCAGCTGGCTTTGCCAAGAGTGGCCAGTGGAAAACAGTGTGGCAAACTTGGCCAAGCACGCTTGAAGACACCCTCAATCTGCTCGTCAGTGAGCTGCACTTTCATCTTCTGCATGACCTTGCAAAAGATGTGCAAAAAGTGAGAAGCCGCCAAATTCAGTCTAGCTGCAGGGACCACAGAAGACACATTGATTCAACATGAACATTGATTATCACTGATTCAGAGGCAAGGAACACTCTTGAACTCCGCGACCTCAATGGTACCAGATTTGTTCGTGTCAATGTCCGCATATGCAGCCTTTAACATAGCACGTTGTTCCTCGCTGAGCCCAGGAGTTGGAGCATCCTCTGCTGATCCAGCTGCCTTGGAGACAATGACAAGTGCATCCGCCACCTGACAATAAACACAGTGGTCGTCGATGTCACACCCTGTTCAACCGGTTCATGTGCTTGCCGTTTCAAGGTACCAAACTCATGGGACATATCTGACATGCCGGCATTCTGAACAAAACTTGAGGCCCAAGGGGGGGTGAACGAAAACTAAGGGTCATATGAGCCTAGAATGATGATGGGATTTTGAGAGGATTTTGATATGCTGAATACAGATTACCTAGAGATCTGGCAGGATTCGAGCCCGTGACCATCTGCTCCCAAGACTGCTTCAAAATACCCGGGAGCTTGGGTGGAGGAGGGTTTCGAGTGAAAAATCATTGTTTTGGACTCAGACCTGCCACTCCCCTTGCTGAAGCAAGAGTAACTCCAGCTAGCTACCGCTAGCTTTCGTGACTTAACTGCTTCAAATTCAGGAGTCAAGCAGTTTATAATATACGTATTACGCGTAGTTTAAAGATGTTACCCCAGCCCCCACCCCACACGCTTTGGGCCTTCTTCTGCTCTTCGGGGCTCAGACCTGCGAAGGCCTCCTGGACTTGTTGGGCGGTGGCCTCCTGGAGTGCTGATCCTCCGGAACCCATGGCAGCCAAGGGACGACGAGACGACTGTTTCGTGTTGTGGGAGCCAAAATACTGAGTGCAGCCCAACTATGCCCTGCCGTTTCTTGTCCAAGAGTTACGCCAATTGTCCCAAAGTTTCTTCGCCCTGTGAAGGCCTTTCTGAATTTGGGGACAATCCCAACTTGTGGCAAAGAAACCCATCCTGGAAACAAGCACGGAATATGCAAGAGAGTTTGGGCGATGACTAAAAACAAGCTGCTTAATGAAGCGCACCACCAGCTGACTCTGTCTTCGAAGGGTCGATGAAGCAGGCGCTTGGGCATTCCTCCGCGCAGGTTGGCCCAGGGTTCCTCTGACATTCATCAACGAATTGATCCCTGGGGCGCCATGCTGTCACCATCGATGCGCCTAGCAAACAAGCGTCGCTGCAGAATCGATCCCAATGACTGATGTGAATGTCTGGGCAAACCTCGAAAGGCTTGGGCCACTCTAATTTATCTGACCTGCGTCACCTGGCCAAGGCACTTGAATCTTGGACCCGGCTCTCGTACGACTTGTACATGGGAAACCCGGCAGGCCTGGGCAAAAGTCAGGCGGGATCTTGCAGCATAATTGTTTGGTTCCCGTTGCATTTTTTTCAGTGCAGCATGTTCGTCAGGCTCATGCCTTTGGGGCTCTCAAAATTCAAAATGCTGGGCTCCATGCGTCTTTGGCGCTGTAGGCACAAGGTTTGCTGGCACTTTGACACAGAAACCGTCTCCGGTCAAGCAAGTTTCAAAAACTAAGGAATGCAAGCCCCACAAGCAACTCCCTAGTTTTATTCCTTTGGCCCTTTTGGCGTTTCTAAATGGTTTGGTTGGGCTGTGGTACCCCGAGAAGCTGGAAGATTCTGACGGGAGGAGCAACAAAGTGGAGTTTCACCGAATTTCAACTGCCCCACTCAACATCAATCCACTTTGCGCTATGTTTGTTCTTGGCCATGCAGGTGAATGCCGCTTTTTGCGGCATCTACAACCGACACATTTGGCAGGTGCTCTTGATACGCTGGTGAAAGGTCTGAAATCTGCATTGCTGAAACAGCCCCTAGCCAGCAGGCGCAGGGTTGTTTAGCCAGGCTGCCGCAACCTCACACGAGCGATGTGTAATTGGGATATGTCCAGAAATGGCGGGGTGATACCCAAGCCACGGGTCAAACAGACCGTCAAATGTCGCACTTTCCTTCACACAAAATGATGCATGCAACAACTGGTGGTAATGTCGGCAATATAAGAAGCCAAGAGTCAACCTTAGCACATCCCAATTTTACCATTCTGAGCCCTCTGGGGGCTTTGAAAAACATACGGGAAAAAGGATGCACAGACTGGGTTTACCATGGTTTACCTCGTTATATGCTATCGCAAACTGCATTAATTGCCCGTTGGGCAGCCTTGCCTCTCGCAACTCCTGTCTGGCACACGCACAGGCACTGCTCAAGTCGCCTGAGTCCATGCTAGTTTCAAGGCATCCAAAAAGATCAGGCCATCGGGTTTAATCACTTCAAGTAGTGCTGGAGCCCTGGAGCACTGGAGCAACATATGTACGTGTACAGACCGTGTGTACATACATATATATAATATAGATATACATATTGTAATATTGTATATCATATATATTTATAAAGCAGGTGAAACCTTGGACTGGTCAATCAGAAGCTGCTTGTGAACATGTGAACTGCGCGACCACAACCATAGCTTGACACATCCTAAACCCACTTCACATCCAGTTTTTGTCTTTAAGATTCCTGCCATCGCTGCCAAATGGGTCGGATTGAAAGCGGCGCAATGAGGTCATCAGCTCCTTTCGCTTTCCTGCCACGATCTGCCAACGGGCAGGTGTAACTGCGTGTAGTGTAGCTAGTGTATAACCAGAATTTATCTGATCATCAAAGGAAGTTGGGAAGCAATTTTCCGTGTTACGGACAAATAAAATTGTGAGACTCTACATAACATAACAACACACTCAATGAAGGGTGGTGTGAGACTATACATCACGTAACAATACACTCAAATGAAGGGTGGTGTGAGACTATACGTCGCACAACAATACATCACAAAACGACAATAGGCTATGACATAGAAGGGTGGCGTGAGACTGTACATCACATAACAATACATCACAAAACATCACCTCACAATACATCACAAAAGCATAATAGGCTATGACACAGAAGGGTGGCGTGAGACTATACATCATATCACATAACAATACATCACAAAACAGGAACCGGCTATGACATAGGGTGGTGACGAAGGGAAGAGGTGAGGAAGGGAAGTGGTGACGAAGACAAGTATCGTAAATCGTATTGGAGTGGCTGCATCAAGGCTGCGACAGTGATTTGTTAGCAGATTTTCTCAATTTTGGCGCTAGCAATTTTCCACGTAAAAGTCCATGTAAAAAGTGCTTCAAAATCGCCTTTTTTTCGCTTTGGAGACGAGATCCATCCGGCTTTGGAGCTGCAATTTCCAACGCCGTTGCGCGTAGTTCTATTGTGCTTCACAACTCAGTGTGTGCGGATCGCATTGTAGTGGCTGTGTCAAGGTTGCTTGGTGCCGCGGCTGCATGCGTAATACTATTTTCTTTTGCAGCTGGACATCTTAGATCGTATCGGAGTGGCTGCATCAAGGCTGCGACAGTGATTTGTCAGCAGATTTTCTCAATTTTGGGGCTAGCAATTTTCCTTGTAAAAGTCCTTTTAAAAAGTGCTTCAAAATCTTTTTTTTTCGCTTTGGCGTCCAGATCCGGTTTTGGAACTGCAATTTCCGACGCCGTTGCGCGTAGTTCTATTGTGTTTCGCAATTCAGTGTCTGCAGATCGCATTGTAGTGGCTGCGTCAAGGTTGCTTGGTGCCGCGGCTGCATGCATAATACTATTGGCTTGGAGTGGCTGCATCAAGGCTGCGACAGTGATTTGTCAGCAGATTTTTCAATCTTGGCGCTAGCAACTTTCTTTGTAAAATTCCTTTTAAAAAGTGCTTCAAAATCGTGTGTTTTTTGCTTTGGTGCGAGATCCATCCGGTTTTGGAGCTGCAATTCCTATTGTCATTATGTACAAGAAAGCTTTTCTGTGTAATTTTTTTTTCTGTACAAGCTTGCTGTGTGTAAAAGATTTTGTGTGTAGAAAGTTTGCTGTGTGTAAAAGCTTCTCTGTGTGTGTAAAAGCTTCTCTGCGTAAAAGCTTCTGAGCGTGTAAGCGCTTGCCATGTGTAAAAGCAAGCACTCTGTGTAAAAGCGTTCTGTGTGTAAACGCTTGCTGTGTGTAAAAGCTTGCTGTGTGTAAAAGCTTCTCTGTGTAAAGCTTGTTGTGTGTAAAAGCGTCTGTGTGTAAAAGCTTCTCTGTTTAAAAAGCTTGCTGTGTGTAAAAGCTTCTCTGCGAAAGAACTTGATGTGTGTAAAAGCTTTCTTTGTGCAAGCTTCGTAATACAAAGTAGTACTGGGAAGTGCTTTGTGCAAGCTTTGTAGTACAAAGTAGTACTGGGAAGTGCTTTGTGCAAGCTTTGTAGTACAAAGTAGTACTGGATGCAAGCTTTGTAGTACAAAGTAGTACTGGGAAGTGCTTTGTGCAAGATCCGGTTTTGGAGCTGCAATTTCCGACGCTGTCTGTTGCGCGTAGTTCTTTGTGTTTCGCAACTCAGTGTGTGCAGATCGCATTGTAGTGGCTGCGCCAAGGTTGCTTGGTGCCACGGCTGCATGCGTAATACTACTCTCTTTTGCAGCTGGACATCTTAAATCGTATTGGAGTGGCTGCATCAAGGCTGCGACAGTGATTTGTCAGCAGATTTTCTCAATTTTAGGCGCTAGCAATTTTCCTTGTAAAAGTCCTTTTAAATCCTTTTAAAAAGTGCTTCAAAATCGCCTTTTTTTCGCTTTGGCGTCCAGATCCGGTTTTGGAACTGCAATTTCCGACGCCGTTGCGCGTAGTTCTATTGTGTTTCGCAATTCAGTGTCTGCAGATCGCATTGTAGTGGCTGCGTCAAGGTTGCTTGGTGCCGCGGCTGCATGCATAATACTATTGGCTTGGAGTGGCTGCATCAAGGCTGCGACAGTGATTTGTCAGCAGATTTTTCAATCTTGGCGCTAGCAACTTTCCTTGTAAAATTCCTTTTAAAAAGTGCTTCAAAATCGTGTGTTTTTTGCTTTGGTGCGAGATCCATCCGGTTTTGGAGCTGCAATTCCTATTGTCATTATGTACAAGAAAGCTTTTCTGTGTAATTTTTTTTCTGTAAAAGCTTGCTGTGTGTAAAAGATTTTGTGTGTAGAAAGCTTGCTGTGTGTAAAAGCTTCTCTGTGTGTAAAAGCTTCTCTGCGTAAAAGCTTCTGAGCGTGTAAACGCTTGCCATGTGTAAAAGCAAGCACTCTGTGTAAAAGCGTTCTGTGTGTAAACGCTTGCTGTCTGTAAAAGCTTGCTGTGTGTAAAAGCTTCTCTGTTTAAATTGCTTGCTGTGTGTAAAAGCTTCTCTGCAAAAGAACTTGCTGTGTGTAAAAGCTTTCTTTGCGCAAGCTTCGTAGTACAAAGTAGTACAAAGTAGTACTGGGAAGTGCTTTGTGCAAGCTTTGTAGTACAAGTCGTAGTACTGGGAAGTGCTTTAGGCAAGCTTTCTAGTACAAAGTACTACTGGAAAGTGCTTTGTGCAAGCTTTGTAGTACAAAGTAGTACTGGGAAGTGCTTTTGTGCAAGCTTTGTAGTACAAAGTGGTACTGGGAAGTGCTTTATGCCAAGCTTTGTAGTACAAAGTAGTACTTGGAAGTGCTTTGTGCAGTACAAGGTAGTACTGGGAAGTGCTTTGTGCAAGCTTTGCAGTACAAGTAGTACTGGGAAGTGCTTTGTACAAAGTAGTACTGGGAAGTGCTTTAGGCAAGCTTTGTAGTACAAAGTAGTACTGGGAAGTGCTTTGTGCAAGCTTTGTAGTACAAGTAGTAGTACTGGAACGTGCTTTGTGCAAGCTTTGTAGTACACAGTAGTACTGGGAAGTGCTTTGTGCAAGCTTTGTAGTGCAAGTAGTAGTACTGGGAAGTGCTTTAGGCAAGCTTTGTAGTACAAAGTAGTACTGGGAAGTGCTTTGTGCAAGCTTTGTAGTACAAAGTAGTACTGGGAAGTGCTTTTTGCAAGCTTTGTAGTACAAAGTAGTACTGGGAAGTGCTTCGTGCAAGCTTTGTGGTACAAAGTAGTACTGGGAAGTGCTTCGTGCAAGCTTTGTAGTACAGAGTAGTACTGGGAAGTGCTTTGTGTAAGCGTTGTAGCACAAGTAGTAGTAGTACTGGGCAGTGCTTTGTGCAAGCTTTGTAGCACAAGTAGTAGTACTGGGAAGTGCTTTGTGCAAGCTTTGTAGTACAAAGTATTTCGGAAAGTCTTTTCTGTCTAAATGCATTTGTGTCTCAAGTGTCTGTCTTCAAAAACTTGCTGCACCCAATGGTTTTTTTGTGCAAGAGACTTCTCTCTGACAGTAAGAGCTTTCTGGCGTACAGAACAGCTATGATGAGTTGAGACGAACTTCGAGGAGATGAGAAAAGTTGATCCGTGCTCAGATGAGATGGAAAACAGTTGAGAAGAACTTGCTTAGATGACATGTGAAAAGAGATGGGATGAGATGAGAAGAGCTGAGATGAGGTGAGAAGAGCTCACATGATTTGAGATGAGATGAAGTGTCGGGTGCGAAGTGCAAGTGTGAAGTGCGAAGTGCAGGGTGTGAAGAGTGCAGTGTGAAGTGTGAGGAAAGTCTTCCCTTGGCGTTGCATTGCAGCGGGGTCGCGCGCAGGTCATGTTCTTGGACAACAACACTGCAACAGTTTCGCACAAAGCACGCGCGCACGAGCCTGGCTGGCGCACTGCGCATTCAAGTTCTATAGATGAGAAAGTTCTTATTGTATATCCCTGAGGCAACTTCCGCCCCACCTCCCGCGGGTACTACTGGTAAGTCTCTGTATTTGCAATTGAAGCATACCCCATTTGTAGTAATGTTCCTTATGTCCAATATTTAATTGCTAGTTGCCCACACCCACAGTGCGATATTACCCTCTGGTTATTTAACATAGCTATGGAAAATGGACAATTATTATAGAATATTTACGATGACTTATATACCCATTAAGTACGGTGATGTTCCATGATTTTCCATATAAGCATGGGGTAAAAGATGTAAAAGAACTAGTTCAGAATCCCATCAATCCCATGCGGGAACGGAGCCTGCCAGGACTTTGCCAAGTTCTACGGCCGCCTTTTTGCCAGCAGACTCCACCAGCTCCTCAGGAAGTGTCCATGGGCTGAAGTGAACTGAAAGTCTATTAAACGCTGAAACACCAAGATTTTAAAGGTCAGTCATCACAATCATCACACAGCATTTCTGGTGGAATTTCTATGAATTTGTGGAAGCCTTCAAGGTTTGATCCGCATGTCTGAGACAAGAGAAGCTGGCAAGGCTAATGACGTACCTTCACCACCTTGCGGAGTTCTAAGTCCACTTCATGAAGACTCGAAACCTCACAGCGCCACAGCTCTTTCCAAACTGCGAATAGACTTGTGTTCAGCAGAGACTTTTTCAGCAGGCTTTGTCACAAGAATCCAGCCTCTTTATCTGCATCTGCCGACAGACCTTATTGCTGAATATTGCTGACTGTCCCCTTTGTGTTGCCAACATATTCTTGGCCAAGTCTTGACGTCTTGGAACACTGATCGTCACAATGCATTCCTTCTCTCAAAAAGATTCTACCAGACAATCAAATATCGCAAACAAAAATGTCACTTTAGAGATCATCTATGACTCTAATGTTTCACTTCCGGGCATCGTGCAAACGCTTCGAAGCTTGACCACTGGCAGGAACCCGCCGCCTTCGGAGCAGCCACGAGGCTGACCTGGAAACACTGAGAGGGAGTGAGTTGGATCTCTTTTTTGTTATTTCATGGTTGTTTGTTTTTCTTGTTTTACTTATGGTGTTATTTATTTGGTACTTATGTGTTACTAATTCATTTGCTTACTCAGTGCCATATCGTATCACATCAAATCATATCATATCAATTCATATTCATATTCATTATCATATCATATCATGTCATATCATATCATATCATATATCATATATATATATTGTACATACACGTATTGTTACATCCACACATACAATGCGCAAAATATGTATATATATATAGAGAGAGAGAGAGTTGCTGGCTCTTATCATGACTTATCTGGCCAAATCCCAGCGGAAACTCTTTGGATCATCCAAGCTTTCGACCAACCAAAGTGAAAATGCGATCCACCAAGCTTCGGCCCACTTGGTCGCCAATGACCTGGAAACAGGGGAGAAAACCACAGGTCGCTATACCGACAATCGAATCACGGAGAAATCTCAGAGACAACTGACAGTAACTGAGACAACCAACAGAAAGGTTAGACTATGTTAGACTGAATGTGATGTATGCATAGCCAGCAAAGGGCTGAGTAGAATTGGCATGGCTGCAAGAATGCAGAACAGCAGCATGGATTGTTCTCTGTCCCTCGTTTTCACTACTAGCAGAGTCATGAATGGCTTGGCTTCCGAGTGCCACTATCAGGTTACATGTCACTCGTTCCCAGCACAAAAAAAAACGAAATCAAGTTGCTTCAAATGTCAAAGTTCATCCAGGATGAAAAGGACCTGCATAGCTATTAATGATATCAAGTCCTTCGGAAGTCGTACATGCAACCCATCGCTTGATTCCAAGGATGGGATCTTTGCACGATTTTTCTGTACAGGGATCAATTCAGAATGTGCCAAGTTTGCCCTTAAGGCTGGACCAGGCACATGAAACATGCAGAACGCCTCAGAACTTGGTTTTGCGGAGGATTTTGAACACTTCCAAGCTATCGAAGCTATATCGCAGCTATTGTTTACTTTTTGGCTTTTTGGAATTTTGCTGACTCGCATCTTGGCTGCATGGTGTACCTTTGGAGAACAGTCTTTCAATGCAAGCCGGCCAAAAAATGCAGGCAAAGAAGACCACTTCAAGTGCGAGTAGCACGGACACCACTGCCAGGTAGGCTGCAGATGGTTGAAACATATGATGCAGATTCCGAATCACACGCCCAGCGAAAAGGTATCCGCCCATCAAGAGTCCACCGAGAATCAGAATCAGAGCTTCAAACCAACATTTCCGCGGTGGAAAAAATGTCATGCAGCCAAGCAAAGCAAGGAACCAAGGATATGAGAAAGCGACCAAAAGCGATTCGAGGAGGTGAAGCAACACCTGGTCAGAATCCATGTCACCCACTGAAAGCTCTGCTGCGATCGGATCAAGTTCGCTGGCAATGAGCGGCATGAAGATGATCAACAGACTTCCTTGAATTTGAGATTTGAAGAGTCAGTTACAGTCGTCAGTTCTCACCAATGTTTTGAATTCCAAACTCCAAAGTAAAGCAAGTAGTATGCGTAAGAAATGAGGCAAATATAGGCAAATATCATCAAATTAAATATGCAAATCTGAACAGCCAAGGATTCGAGCTGGAAGACCACCAAAGGAAATCGCATCGTGCATCCTCTGCGGGATAACTTCTCTCGCTCGCGTTTCCAAAACCTTGCAAACCTCTTCAGTAGTTGCGAACTCCCCCACAATCTTATGGTCAACTGCCAAGGCAACAAGAGCACTCAAAATTTCTTCTCGGTCAGCTTGATGCTGGCAACTCGATGACGCAAAGGTGAAGGTCTCCATTTGCTTGGAGAGTTGCGATCGCACACGGCCCCAGCGACGCATGGGCACAATCAAACAACTGCAAAACAGTAAAAAGAGGCTGCCTCCAAGAATCCAAACCTTGATTTGCTGAAGAGGCAAAAAAAGAATTTGAAGCGGATAGCGGATTGCCCATGTTTGGTTTGGATCTGTTTGGATCTGTTTGGACTGCCCAATGCGGAAAGAAAAAACCAGCCACTCAGCGAGTTCGAGAAACGATGGTCCTGTTTTCAGCATGAACTACTGGAGCAAAGTAAGAGTTTACCAGCTCGCCAAGGATGCGAAAGCTTTGGCAGCATGCTGAGACAATGATGAAAGTTGCAAGCTCCACAGGGAGCACACTGATCTTTCCACAAGGCTTCAGGATGAGAAAAGATATGAGCTCAAAGACTGTCCAAATCCTGTCCAAGTACTTCTCCGAAAGAACCACAACAAGCTCGTCTGCATGCCAAATGTAGGATGTCAGGGCGTGAATGCCTTCCCACTTCTTCTGATCATTGAATTGGTCTACGCAAACTTTGTCGAGGAACACATCAGGACCCTGACGGCCGAGACATAGAAGAAGATCATGAGACAACGTGAGGGACAATAGCAATGCCACGAGACTGCCGATGGTACACCAAATGCTGATGTACGATGTAACCATGTCACCTCCTATCTCTGCTTCTATCTTGAAAATGGGCAGAATACCAGCTATGACGAGGCCAGCACAAATCAGCCCGACAATGGCACAGCTCGCCAGGGCTTTGTACATGTTGAAATGTATTGCCTCGCCCCAAGCCGCAATAAATCACAAGATCTGCAACACCCAAACCCTTCTGAATACAAAAGGTGATTCCGTTTTTGGCCCCGCCCCAACACAAAATTGCATAAAATTGCAGCATTTGCAGGCAAGGAACCAATGTGAGAAACTTGCGCCACCTATCAACTTGCCAGTTGTGACTGATGAAAAACTCGAATGTCAGGAAAGCCAACTCCTGGGAACAGCAGTGATCCTCCTCTCGAAGCCTGGGACCTGCCAACGCCTCCTCTGCTCAGCACCTTGTACAGAGAGACGGCGCGAAGGCCCCCTTGATGTACATCCGACAGGGCACTCACAGGGGTGTTCGCTTGTTGGACATCTGACGAATCGCTGTGATAGATATGGATCTCCTGCACATGGCACATTTGTTGGGAACCCCAAACTGATGAGATGTGATTTCAAAATATGTCAAACAAACATTTACAACAAATCACTTTTCCTCGGTAGATTCAGCTTGCTCAAGGTTAAAAGGGATAGCTCACTCCAAAAAGTGTCAAATAAGTCACTTCCCACCTTTCTTGCTTGTAGGTACAGTATACTGGGTGCCTGAGAAAGTTTCGGGCTATATAATCTGTACGTATACATATATATATAATTATATATATATACATACTACACATACAGTATTGTGATGTATTATGGTTGACATCCTCTTTGACATTTCAAGGCACTCTGGTTCCAAACTGCTCTCACCGCATGTCTCGCTTGTTTCTTTCGGATTGGACGAAAGATATCAAAACTGGCTGCCAGTAATGCCAGCAACTTAGTCAATGACGACATGAGTGGCACTCAATCTAGGCACTCTGGGCAGTTTGATTGCTACGTTAGTATGTCAAACTCTTTGTCGCACTAAGGGTCCCAAGAACTCATCTTCCATCGGATGCAAACTTGTCAGAAATTAAGGTGTGCCAGAGAGTTCGACCAGTGTAGTATCTCTGGTTTAACTGTACCGCCTACACCTTTCGGTTGGCGTTTGACACAAATGACACATCTCCTGTTATGGGCTTGGCATGATATGGCAAGCTATCAACATCTCTCAACTGCAGGAACACAGCACTCCTCCGGCAAAGCCATGCCAAGGGAATGACTAGGTCACAATCAATGCATGTGTGTACGTTGCTAAATATGTTCAGGTATATCCAACATGAATTCTGTTGATAGTGGTGTCGCGCTGTGATGAAACCCTGTATATGCTCTTTCTCTGCAAGCGTTGGAGGTATTCTTCGTTGGCGTTCCTCTCAGCCTATATCCTTCGATGCAGAGGAAGCGCTTTTTGAAGAACGAAAGATCGAATTATCACGCAAGGGAAAGGCATAAAAGCACCGTTGTCTGCTTCATCGCTGCTACTTGAATTCCTTCCATAAAACATCGTAAGATCATACTATGGCCATAATGATGACCCTGGTGGCAGCGTATTGCCGACGCCTCTGGATGCCACTGGATGCCATAGACATGGTCCCGCACGTGCTCCATGGCCATGATCTCAGATTTTTTTCGCAGAAAAGCACGGCGAAGCAGTGCTCTTCACCACTGAGCTGCAAACGCGATTGGCAGAATCCACAGCCGTCCTGCAGCGGGTTCAATTTGTTCCGTGTTTCCGTGCCCCAAAAAACACCCCCAGAAACCATGGTAGATGTAGGGGATGAAAGATGACGAAATCACATGTATTTGGGACCATAGAATGGGGGTGTCTAATATTGGGGCCATGGGATTACACTAAATCTGGATGTCTTCGTCAAACTCTTATCCATCTTGGTCAGAACACTGGCGACTCAGGCGCAAGCACTGTGAAGTGATGTGGCATCTGTTCCACGAAAATGTAGTTGGACGCCTAAGAACCAATCAGAGCTGGTACCAGCGTCCAAGAATCACTGAAGGTCCCAATCTCTCTTAACCCCTGAGATCTGACAGATCTGAAATAGAAATCATAGAAGCCCCAGATTTCAGATGACATCCTTCATCTCCACGGGATGATTTCCAGGACTCCGACTTTCTGGGAAAATCGTGGTGGCATTCCATGAAGCCTGGCTGTTTGGAAACAGTTTGGAACATTGCGGGGATGGAGGCTCAGCCCTGACCAAGCAAATCAGATTGGCAGAATGAGAACCAGATGAGAATGGGCCATGCATGGGTCAATTTTTTTTGGAACCTCTTAAACCGAAGACATCAACCTTGATACTTGATACTAGGATACATTGAGCAACTAAGCTTGGGGATCCACAGTTTCGCCATAGCCAGCCAGGGGAAACCAGCAACTTGTTTTCTTCGCACGGAGTTGTTGCTGTAGGTTTGCTCACCTGGCAGAGCCGATCAAGCCCTGGATGAAATGAATGCACTGACAGTAGACATGTTGACACTGACTACAATCTGACTGTCTTCGCTTGTCTTCTGCCTTTTTGAATCCCATTTCGCTTCCCAAAGTGCCCAATCTGTGCCCCGCTCCTTTGCCAGCAAGCTCTTGCAAGAGCAGATTGGCCATCTGGAATTTGCAAGCAATTCCCTGCCTGGGCGGACAGTTGCCCAAATCTGAAGATATTTGGCAGGAAGCAACTGTCATAGGTTGAAATTTGAGAGAGTCTCAAATTCTTATGATTCTTAGTCGGCCTCTCGACTGCAGATGTAGTTTGCTGGATCTCCTTCACGCTAATGTTAAAAGGGCTTGGAATCGGTTTGAACAATTCTCCCATGGCTGTTCCATTTGGTCCACAACGTCGAAGGCTTGAAAAGAACCCAACTTGCAGCACTTCCAGGTATTTTCATCCGCGCAAATGATTCACACGGGGTTCCACGTCTGCAATGCTTCAAACATTTTGCAGTTGCTTGGAGAAGCAACCTTTGCCAAAGCCTGGTACTCTCCTCGGTTGCGAGGCTATCTGGAAAGTTGTCAGAGAAAATACTGAATTGGTGCGAGCTCTTCCTGACGGGCCGATCCTGTGGCCCTCGATGAGTCTTGGCTCCAAAGCATCACGAGATAGACGAGATATGGTTACAAAATATTACAAACAAAAAAATTGGAAAAGCAGTCGAAGACTTGAAGACTTCGCTGACATCCTGTCGGCCGACAAGGCGAATTCACTGTATCTGAAACAAATCATGGACCTGGAGTGACCTGGAGGCAGCAAAGTGTCAAGCTCTGACTGACTGGGCCAAAAAGAGAGGCGTGGCCCAAAAACAAGGAAATGTTGTCCAAAGTCACCTGATCTGCGGGAGTAGAATCCTAACCGGCAACATTTTGCTGGTCTTATTTCATCCTCACAACTTGAGATCGCAAGAATGGTTGACATTCAATGTTTGATGTCTATACCACTGATCAGTCGCTTTGGCCAAGACGATCTGCGCCTGCTCCTTTGGAGACAGCACATGATGTCCACGTGTGCTACGAGAGACGGTCAAAAAGAGTTCTTAAGTAAACATCTCACGCCCAGTTAAGAGATGTTAAGAGACATTCTGGGAATTTCTGGGATACTTTGTGTGTCTCTCGGCTGTTGGCTCTGTCGTCTAAGCACGAAAATGCGAGAGAGAAGGATGTTCGCAGGCTTCGTGAAGGCTCTTTGGATCACATGCCTTTCGTGCAGCTAATTCATATCCCACATTCCCACACTCCATGGTGACTCTGGCAACAAGGCTTCACGTCCTGGCCCATCAAGCGAGGTCAGAAACATAAAACCCACCTGCCGAACCTGCATCGTTGTCAGGCTGAAGTGGTTTTCTTATGTTTTCTTCAAAATTTTCAACTGCCCAGTCCTTGATGTTCTTTGGACAGCGGCTTCACTGGCACGATGCCCCAGCTTGCTAAGAACTTTTTTGTATGCCGCATCGCCAAGCCTTGAATCAATGCAAAAGAGTGGCTTATACCACCGCTACGAACAAGCATGAAACCAATCTCGGCCCCATTTGCCCCAGTTACATCAAGTGACATAGAGTTTCAGACATCAGACATCTTCAGACATCTTCAGACATCAAGACTCGGAAGGCATTTCGGGCCAAGTTGCGTGTCCTCCATGCTTTTGCGCCGCGGCTTCAGTGGAGTCAGGACAGTTGGCGGATCCATCATCATCGCGGTGGCATGTCTCAGGTTGGGTGGAATGAAATTCCTGTCCCTTACAATGGATGGCTGTGCAAAGGTAAGAGAGTAACACGGGCAACACTTCGGATCCAGCAAATTTGACAATCTCACATCCTGCGACATAGGTCGGTTGGCCTTCATCCAAGGCCAAACCACCGATGTTTTGGAAGCTAAGGCCAACCGACCTATGTTTTGGAAGCTAAGGTGGATACGTTGTTGGCACAACATTTGGGAAGAACAGGTTCTCAACAGGTGCACCTAGGATAGACTCGCCAACACACAAGGTTTCGAGGCCACTCAATCATGAACAACATTGCAACGACACCACCTGAAGCTCTACAGTGAGTCTACGGGTTAAGTGGGCACCATCAGGTGGAAGCATTGCTTGTGATATCTTGTGATGGTAGTGCATCCATGCGGCAGTCTAATTTTCTGCGTTCTGTCAATTCCAGGGAATCCACAGAGAGTCGTCTTTGCGCCTGATCCAATCCAACTTTCCAGCCAATGATTTCAGGTTGGTGACGAGGTGTGAATCATGGCTTTGCAAATACTGGCCTTACAAATTGATGCCATCCCATGATAAACCTTGATAACTCTTGATAACCATTGACAACCCACATCTTCATCATCTTCACTTACTATACTTCCTATACTTCCGGTACTTCCTGTACTTCCTATAAATGATGGGGTCTACTCAAGGCTACAACCCAAGGCCCAATGGCCCAATCATCAACCAACAGCCTCCTCTTCCACGGAGCTCAACATCTCAACCTCGGGCAGTAGGGAGTCATTCTCCGAACAGAACATCCTCCCAGGCCAGGGGAAATCTCATGTCAGCTACATATGTATCTAATGCACCTCATGCTACAGGGATATGTCATACTTGGATTCTGTTGAAATCTCAACTTTTGTAGATGCCATTGTTGATTGTTGATATGATTGTTTCTCTGAAGTGGCCTAAGGACACTCAAACGATTTGCCCCAGGCAGCCTTTTTGGTCGAGATGGAGGCCTTCTGAAAGACGCAAGAGGCTCTGGCCCCATATTCTGCCATGACGTGTGCATCCAGAAAGGACAAATCCTCGGAAAAAACACTTCCCACACCTTGAAAGGAAGTGAGAATCAACTTGTCCAAACTTGAAAGCCAAAGAAGAAAATATTCCAATAATGTCCAATACATTCAATACTTTGCTAAAGCTCTGCTGGCACAAGCGTATCATCTGCTTGCTTCTTTTTGAGAAGCACGTGATCGATTGCATCCAACCTCAAACAAGTATGAAATAGTATGAACAAATGGCATCACAAAACATGAACAGCATGAACACTTTGGATGTCCGGGATGTCCGGGATGTCTCATGACAAGAATTCTGAACTCAAGAGACATCAGGGACATCAAGAGACCTAGGACTTGAACCCTTGTTCTATCTCTCTTTCCGTGAAGGAAGTCAGCATCGTCCTCCATCGGTTTCGAAGATGATCGTTGGAGTGGATTACCTTCGGAGCCTCAGGAGGAACAGACAGCTGCTCAGCTGCTCGCCTCGAAAGAGTGGACTTCCGCAGGCAGTTAATCAAGGCTTCGATCAAAATTGTGCTCTTTGAAGGGGACAATCTCATGACTTTCCAGATGGAAACTGCATGAAGGAACAGGAGGACAAAATGTCGGAAGCAGCTGTGCTTGCAAGAAAAAGGGTGCAACTAAGATCAACGCCAAATAGATTGTGTGATATGCTGGAATTCTGAAGCCAGTCATTTGCAACTCCTGTCTCCAGACCATTTAGCTCAGGAGTCAACATACCACAAGAGGTAGTTTCTGCAAGGCAGGGCAGGCCGAGTCCTTCCCTTCGAGCTTTGCTAAGAGCAGAATACCACTGTCCTCATCCAATGGGCACCTGGGATTCCCATGGGATTCCCATGGGATTCCCATGGGATTCCATGGATTTCATGTGGTGAAGACCGCAAATATGACGACACATGAGAGCTCTTGCCCGGGCTTCAGTTCCAACCCACCTGTAGCTCGGCATTTACACACTCAAGTGATCTCTAAGTGGATCAAATCAGTCAAAGGAGCTCCAAATGAGCAAACTCATGCCTTTCAAGGCCAAGTGCACCAGGGCCAAGCTCTGGATTCAGGACCCACTTCTCCTACGGCAAGTCATCTATCCATAGGGCGACCATGGTGTTCTTCGACAAAACACTCGCAGTCCTTGTAATTTGGTGAATATTCGAACTCAATGAGTTCGTGCTCAGCCTTCACAAAGGTGTTTGTGAACACCCAATGAGTAATTGAGCCAGAAAATCATGAGAAAGCAATGAAAAAGTGTGGCATTGATCTGATTTATATCTTTTGTGCAGCACGTTCCTTCAGTGTCACCATGTCGGTACTGAATTGGGAGGTCAAAATGGCACCGTAGTAGCTGAAGAATTCTGGAGTGGCTGGCGCCTTGCAAGTCCCACATCTGTCTTTGAAAGCAGAGACTCTAAGGTCAACAATGCCTGAAAATATCAAGACTCAAACCGACTCAAACCGACTCAAACCGACTCAAACCGACTCAAACCATTGTTTTTGTTTGAAACCAAGGTGCAATTGGCACAATGCCATTGAAGTTTGCAGGCAGCTGTATCTGTCCATGTGGTTTTCCCACTTCCCAGTCCTCAGGACCCAGATGACCCAGATTTCTTCTCGAACGGATCCCACCATCAACGCATTGACTTGCCAAGGTTCCACGGCAAATGCCACGTGTGGAGGAACCAACACCACGTTTGAACACAGGGCAAGGGCCTGATGAGTTGGAATAAAGTTGGAATAAAGTCTGTGGATCTTGGAATAAAGAGTGCAGCAAACCCTCTGGAAATTGTATTTAATACATTTGAATACCTCCCATTGGTGTGATTTCGCAAACGTTGTCAATCTTTTGGGACACATCTCTTTTCTATAGAAACACATGACATCCTGCTAGGCACTCAAGCGCATTCGGAACAAATGAAGGAACACGTCACTGAAAAATCTCTGCCTTCAAGGAGTGTCGTCCAGCGGGAAGCGAAAACGCTGACAGATTTTGAGCATCACTGGCCTCTGAATTTCTCCTAGGTTCAAAGGAACGACCACTCATCACAAAAATATACAAAATAAAAAATGTATGTAACATTCTAAAACATCACCTGCCAAGTGCGATTCTCTGGAAACATTCCCGCAGCCATTGAAATTCAAAACCGGGAAATCTTCAAAACATCTGAAGCAAGCACTGCAATGCAACTGCCGAGCTGCCATTTCAAATCCCGGCCCGTTGTTTTTCTGAACACTGGTCCGGAGTCCGGCATCCAGTCGCCATCATCTGTCTCAATAGAGTCACGAAATCTCACTACCGGAGTACACAAATTGACCTGGCACCAATCAAACTCAAGCCATTCGCATCCACATGTGATGCAAAAACAAGAATTGTATGGACCATGTATATAGAAACTACAAGAAACTGCTCAGCCAACAACCCCGCAAATGCAGAGTGGTTGCCGAACTCCAAAGTAAGCGTCTTTCAGGAAGCATGTCATCTCTTGTCTCCCCCACCTTTGTGACCTGAACTTCTGGCTTGCTGGAACCAGCTGCACATCCCATATCCCGCTCTAGGTGCTTCTCACCTGTGATCCAACTTGGCAGAAATGCTTGAAATGCTACCGCTCCATAGGGCAACTTGACACAGCGGCAAACTTGAAACACCATCTTCTGCCGCGCCTAGCTGTAGACAGATTGGTTTTGTCAAACGTGCAAGGTAGCGTCGGGATAAAACGCAAATTTTGAGCCCACCCTCTCAACCAACCATATGTGCCAACCAGCATCTCTGTCTGAGCATAGAAACAATGCAGCACGTCTGTTTGCGCCTTTGAATGAGATCCACGCTTTGAAAGCTTAATACCAGGCTTCGGGGTGTGTCTGACAGCTACCATTTTCACTCTCCACCCGATATGTTTTGTTGCCATTCGTTTTGTTTGCTTCTTCTCCAAGAACCCATAGCCATAGTCCCCCAATGCAAGACGCATCCCCACAATGTCCTGCAATCCCCATCATCCTCGTCTTATCATCTTCCTCAGAATGCCACAATCTGAACAACACTTTGACACTAATGGGATATATACAGGGTATGATATAAATATGTGTATGTATATATAGATATGTATATATATAACGGGAACACTTTGACACAAAGACATACAAACACCTCCTCTTGCCGCGAATGAATCCGAGTCCAAGTCTTCAAGCTCAGCAGTCGGGGTCAAAAATCTCTGGACAAACTGCACGTGTCAAAGAGACTACATATGGCACCTATGTTACTTCTGAGTTTGTCGCTTGCAGCCGAGTACCAGGTGCCTTGGATCCCATACTTATGCTGGAGCACTTCACGCAAGAATGGCTGGTGGACAGTGGTTTGCCATCATTTTTAACAGGCAATCTGCTTAAGAAGCTTTGCAACGACCACCTACGTTGGACTCTGGGCCTAGTTGCAGACGGCTGACACGCAGGTTTTTTCTGGAAGACCCTCGCATAGCATGCGCAGTGGGGGCAATATGTTGCGTGCAACTCGAATTGTCAGAAGCCTGGCAACCTAGGTTGCAGAGCTGGTGCCTTCCAAGGTAGCCAACACTGCGTGGGCAGCACGTTCACCAGACTCCAAAGCTCCCTCGATGTAGCCACGCCATTGGTGAGCATATTCCGTCCCGGCAAAGCTAATTCTTCCTGCTTTGGGGAAGAGACCATTGGGCAACTTTTTCCATTGACCCATTCCAGGAGTTGACAAGTAGCCACCCAAAGAGTCTTCATCACCAATCCAGTTGTGATAATGAAATGACTGGATTTCCTCCTCGAGGGACCCAAAAGAAGCTTGTAAGAAATCTGCAAAGCCCTTTTTCAGCTCTTCCACAGGCTTCTCGCAAATCTCCAACGCACTGGGTCCCACAACAAAGCAAGCCAAAACACCGTTTCCGGTCGAGTGACTCAGGTCAGCCACTTCAGAAATATCTAAATCATTACTCTTTCCATAGGAGGAGACAAAGCCTGTCAGCCCCCGATTGCGCCACCAAGGCGTTGGAAAAACAGCGACCATCTTGACCACCTGTCCCAAGGCCATCGATGAAGCCACGTCGCTGTAGTTTTGGGGCAAAGAAGGCTGGAATTGAATTCGTGCCAGAAGCTGTGGTGGAAATGCCAAGATCACCTCTTTTCCTTCATAGATTTTGCCGCTCGATTTTACCACTACCTTATCTCCAGTTGTGTCAACAGACACCACCCGTGCGTTGAGCTCTAAATCAGCCTCCAATTCCTCGGCCATTTTTACAAAGATCTTCTGAAGTCCTTGATCAAAGAAGAATGTCTCTGCCTTCTCCTGTTGCTCAAATGAACCAAAGGTCTTCATGGTTTGCGCCGCAGCGTACACTGAAATTTCCTTTGGATCATGGCAAAACCCTCCACTCAACAGCGACGACAAAAAGGTGATGGCACCAGAAGTCCACGAACGCTTCTCCACGTACTGGCCAACGCTCTCATTGTCATACTGATCAAGATTTGGGGTGAAGCCATTCAGTGAGATCTTCTTGATGATACTGGACATCCGCCACATTCTGATCATGAAGTCCAGGCCTGAGAAAAAGCCAATACCTAAGCTGCCTGGAGAGAGAAGCTTTTTCACACCCCCTGTCCACACAACCGCTTTTCCTGCCTTGTAGTGCTCGAGTTTTCTGTATCCGTAAGTTTTTACCAGCTGATCCAGTCGATCATGACCGGTTTCTGCCTGCCACTGTGCACCCAGTTCCACATGAGTTCCTGAGGGAAGCTGTTCGCTATAGATTCGACCCCCAACTCGGTCACGTGACTCCAGGACGACCACCTTCTTGCCAGCCTTGCGAAGGATGGAGGCAGCATTCAAACCAGCAGCACCCCCACCAACGATGATTACATCAACTTCCTTGGAAGCCATTGCTCCCACGATCAAAAAGTTGCTTGGGCGCGAAACAACCACTGGTGCAGATTCAAGTATATAATATATGCAATCGAAACTACAGGACCTTGTGACCTCGGTCGTTGAAGTGCTGTGCTTCCCGAGAGCCAACAGACCTGTCTGAGTTCCTGGCGACCTCGTTGTCGTGGCGAAGGGCTCAGGTCTGGAAATGACCAAGATGGATTAAGCGCCAACAAGGGAAACTGGGTCTCCAAGTGAAACAAAGATCATTATCTAATTCAATACACAGTAGCATTATAATATCGAATACAGCACAGTAATGTCTCACATCGCGGGGTCAACTATCAGAAGCTTCTTGAATGGTTACAGCAATGTCTTGACAGGAAGCCTTGGTAATTGGAGCAAAAGACAGATGCTACGAAAGCGGAGGGATACACTGCCACGACAAGCCGAGGTGAGTTGGTTCCATCAACAGGAAAAACGGATGTATCGGTAATCAACATTTGCTACTCTGTATTCAACGTACAAAATGCTTCACCGGTACTAATTCTCCACTATATTCCGCTTCCTTTCCACCAGATCCCAGGATGCACCTTCATGTCTGGAATGCGCCCCACTCTCAATAAATGCGTTTTTGGGATCTGGCCTCACGAGTAAAAGACTTTGTCTTCAGCAGCAACAGTTTCAGGATATCCAACCTTTCCCCATGTTCCTTGCACTATAGCTAGTATAAGCATGTTCATTCCTTGTTCCTCCCTTTGAGTGCACAATGTCTTGCTGGGTTAGCTTATCACCCCCTCATCAGGGTTTGACCACGATTCCCTCCATCAGCATGAGCTTTCTATGGTAACATAGCACCTATCAATTTCCAGGGACCCCAAAAAAACAAATGGCACCCTGTCATTGGTTTGCTGTAGTGACTCACACCAGACTCGTTGTAGATAACAACGTGCGACAGCTATGACAACAGCCTCCATGATTGTCCAGCCCCACGACGCCCCAATAGCTCTTTTGAACCCTACTCTATTCAACTGATCATTGAGATGTACCAAGCTTGGAAACGCAAGTCTTGTGCCAAAGGCTGCAGGATCAAGCACTGAACACTTTCACTTACACAAGTTTTGACACGCGAAGCCAAGGATAAGGTGAGCCAGGCAGGCAAGCGAGATGTCACTCCCGCTGTTTTCCTCATTTCTGCCCACCTGATCCAAAGGAATAGCCCAGCAGAAACGTGTTTGCAATGGCAGCAAGTACCTTCTTGATGTCTTCCAGTTGTCAATTGTCGTGGTCAAAGTGTGGTGTTTCCTTCAAACTGCTGTTGAGCGGCACTCCCTTGTGGGCGGTGTCTCGTTGCCTCATTTGCATTGAAGATGTGGTGGAATCAAGTAGCAACCCAGGACCGGCTCAGGAAGTGACTATCGAAAGTTCTAAGGTGGGGACTCCTTCAACGATCCGCCGTAAAGGAGCGCAAGCAGCTGCATGCCGTAGCAAATGCCAACCACTGGCCTTTGGCATCCACTGTATCTACCAGTTAGCATCATCATTAGTGATCAAATATCATTCACTGGTCTTGTGTCCCTCCAACCCCTCCAACCCCTCCAACCCCTCCAATGGTCCAACCCCTCCAACCCCTCCAACCCCTCCAACCCCTCCAACCCCTCCAAACCCAGGAGTCCCCGCGCATCTGGGAATAGCAGCATGGCAGCAGTCCTACCAGTTCATCTGACGGATCTTTGTTCATCGTGACATCCAGGGGTCCAAAAGGGATTTTTCTATATGTTTTTCAACAAATGTTTAATGGGGAGACAATGAAAAACGAAAGGACAAATCCATTCACATGGCTTGGATCTTGAAACAGCTTCGGGAACGGCTTCGGGCCCTGGCGTTTTGCACACTTGCGCGCGCAGGTCTACCGGTTCGGTAAGTTCAACTGGGCCTACAGTGTGACATTGGACCCACTGGATCTGAGTGAAAAGAAGCAAGGAACCACAGGGGCCATCTGGCCATGTCAGATCTCTACAGCACCTTTCAAGGTCGTCTCTGAGATTCCAGCTGCCACATGAGATAATCAAGCCCACTCGGCTTGGGGCATTAGCCTCAGCATTCCCCTGCATCTTCACCAGTCACACCATCTGTGGATTTCCCTCATTTTGGAGTGCCAAGAATCTGAGAAACACACTCCATTGGCAGTCAGCTCAGCCAATTGGGAAGCGAGGGAATTCAACGCATCAACCTCAGTTGCTTGGGCAGTTGTCATGTAGGTGATGAGTTTTCGGATCTAAATCCAACTGATACTGATGATACTGATCTACGGCTTGGGCTGTGCGTACTTCATAGGTTTGCAAGCCGGCCTGCAAACCGGTGTGTCTGTGTCTGTGTCTGGTGAACCAATGGTACAGTACCATTCCATCAAACTTTTCACATGTTGCAAGAATCTATCGTCTATGTTTCAAGAGAATGCGTAACGAAAATGCCATGCGAAGTGCAGGAAGTTGCCTCTTGCACTCTGGCAATCAGCTGCTGCGTGTAGCTTCCAGGCCTCAAACTCAAACCACACGAATTGCAAAAGAAAACCGCTGGATGCAGATCTTCTTCAAAGAAAATGCTTTGATGGCTTTCAATAGTAAGCCAAATGATGATGGACTTTTAGCTTGGCATGCCACACTCTCACCAATCCTCTTTTTTCTGCATGTGAGTCTTGGACTAAACGTCTACCGGGAACAGCTGTTGATGTTCCGCCTATCCTATCGCTGAAACACCGGTCCACAAAGACGGAAGGGGTCCACCGGTCCTGCCCACAAGTTCAATCCCAGGTGAAGACCCAAAAGACCCAAATGATCAAGCGACATGCCGCGACATGCCCTGACATGCCCGACATGCAGTCTTTACAACTCCCTCGGGTCCCTCGTTGACTATTCTCGGTCATTTGAGGCCATCCCAAGTGCTCCACACGTGCTCCACACGTGCCTCAATTCGTTCAAGAGTAGCTCCCAAGAAATTGATCTGTTCGAAACCTTTCTCCTGACAGGCCATCAAGCCGATGCTTTTCTTCAGTGTCTTGCCATGCAAAGCAGCACACAACGACGTACCAAACAGTGACATAGTGGTCCCCATATAGAACAATCCCACAAAACTGGAAGGAAAACCCGTGTCCATCTGTTTTAGTGACCACTCAGCAAATCTTTTAAATCTTCACTGCCATCTCCACTGCTTCATCTGCTGTCCAGGAGATGAAGTCGCTGCTAAAGCTCAGCGTTCCAGCCAAACCAGCTTATCCGCCAACATCACTTTGCTTCATGGCAGTTCTCATCCAACGTGTGATACATACCCCCACCAACTAAATCTTTTAATTTGGGAATCAAAACAGCCAGCATTTGAGGTGCACTGGCTTCTCCTCAAGTCGAATAGTGGTTCATACTGATCCTTGTACGTGTATATCCGTGTACTGTTTGGCTGAAGCTACTGGGTGAGACTTGCAGATGCCATCATCAAAGACCTTCATCATTTGTAAATGGCAACTCTCATGGCAAAACAACTTCTGTGCAGCTGGGCACAGGGTTAAACGGTTGAAGGGTTGCATCGAATCCAAGAGGATGAGAGCTTGGCGGCCTCAGGGCCTGAACTCATGAGGCCACTGGAGCTGCTTTGGCTGCAGCCGGTGCAGCAGGAGTGGGGGCCACAGGGGCTGGCACACCCCCACCACCAGCGAGAATTGCCATGGCCTGCGCTGCCAGAGTTCTTCTAGACCCTGAAGTACAGAAATAGGGAACAAAGGATCGTCTAGCATAGTATAGTCATGATTAGAATCAGTTATAGTTGTAGTATAGTAACTCTAGTATCGTGTTTGTAAGACACTACCCAGAAATCCGAAACAACTGTCAGGCAAGTGCTTAATGCCATTTCTGACATTTGTCTCATCAAACCCGTGCCTCTTCTGCTTCCTTTTGCGCTTGCTGTGCATAGAGAGCCTGCACCATTAGCAAGTCAAGGCAGTTGCCCAGCTGGGGAATATGTGTAATGATCCAAACTGGACGTCAAGTACGCATCTTCAGGGATGTTTGTTCATACCCTCAATTTGTAAGGATGCCCGCCGCATCACTCAGATATATCCATATCTGTATCTATATCTACACAAATATGTGCATATAAATATATGGATATATGTACATATGTTTGTATACCGTTAATCCCATGCAATATATGTTTACCGCATCCTGGTGGGTGACCATGGCACATCACACATCATCGCACCCAGTGCAGGAAACCAATCAAACAAACGAGAAGATACTCGGGGAAGAAAATAGGGGAAGCAGTAGGAAGAAAAATAGGGGAAGAAAATATGGACAAAATTGGAAAGAATCGTGTAGGAAAATAGGCGGGAAAAAAAGGTAGGAGAGAAAATATGGAAGAAAATGACTTTATACCCGAAGCCTTCAGTTCATCCTCTGCTTCTTCTTCGCCACCAGCACCCAGAGAGGAAGAAGCGGCCAGGGCAGCCTGGATATCCTGCGCCATTGTGGTCTGTGCCGGGCAAAATCCAGGCAAACGGACTCATGGGAAACAATTCAGATGTAAACTATGACAGATATTATACATATATATATGGCACTCTCTCTGGCGGGTAATATGATCCCCTTATTTGGATCTGTTTTTGGTCTCACCTTTGGTGTGATTTGATATACAGTAAATATAATGTATATGTTATATATATATATCCGCCGACCCCGGCTGCGCAAGGGGGAGCGCGTTAGGGAAGAAGACAGCAGCACCCAGCAGCAGCCAGTAGCCAGCAGCCAATATCTGCCGACCCCGGCAGACGCAAGGGGGAGCGCGTCAGGGCAGAGAGGTTGTGAACAACAACACCAACACCAACACCAACACCAACACCAACACCAACACCAACAACAACAACAACAACAACAACAACAACAACACAACCTTCAGGGCCATGGTGCATCCCCGCTTTTTGAGGGGTCAGCAGCAGCAGCAGCAGCAGCAGCAGCAGCCACGGTGTTTTCCCATCCAGGGGCTGTCTTTTGAACAGGACGAGTAGCAAGAGCAGGAGCAGCAGCAGCAGCAGCAGGAGGAAAAAGTAGTTAAAATCATCCTTTTCTATGGGTTTCAGACGTTACATTAGGGAGTTTTGGGTCGCAATTTTGCTGCTTTTCCGTCCTTCACTGCCACGGTGTTTTCCCATCCGGGGGCTGTCTTTTGAATAGGAGGAGTAGCAAGAACAGCAGCAAGAGGAAAAAGGAGCCAAAAGCATCATTTTCTATGGGTTTCAGAAGTCACGTTAGGCATTTTCGGGTTGCAATTTTGGGGCTTCTCCGTCCTTCAGAGGCATGGTGTTTCGCCCCCGGGAGGTGATTTTTTCCATTGTGTTTTCCTATTTGGGGACCGGATGTAAAGGTAGCTAGAATTCATGGCAGCAGCAAGAGGAAAAAGGAGCCAAAAGCATCATTTTCTATGGGTTTCAGAAGTCACGTTAGGCATTTTCGGGGTGCAATTTTGGGGCTTCTCCATCCTTCAGAGGCATGGTGTTTCGCCCCCGGGAGGTGATGTTTTCCATTGTGTTTTCTTATTTGGGGACCGGATGTAAAGGTAGCTAAAATTCATGGCAGCAGCAAGAGGAAAAAGGAGCCAAAAGCATCATTTTCTATGGGTTTCAGAAGTCACGTTAGGCATTTTCGGGGTGCAATTTTGGGGCTTCTCCATCCTTCAGAGGCATGGTGTTTCGCCCCGGGAGGTGATTTTTTCCATGGTGTTTTCTTATTTGGGGACCGGATGTAAAGGTAGCTAAAATTCATGGCCGCAGCAAGAGGAAAAAGGAGCCAAAAGCATCATTTTCTATGGGTTTCAGAAGTCACGTTAGGCATTTTCGGGGTGCAATTTTGGGGCTTCTCCGTCCTTCAGAGGCATGGTGTTTCGCCCCCGAAAGGTGATTTTTTCCATGGTGTTTTCCTATTTGGGGACCGGATGTAAAGGTAGCTAAAATTCATAGCAGCAGCAAGAGGAAAAAGGAGCCAAAAGCATCATTTTCTATGGGTTTCAGAAGTCTCGTTAGGCATTTTCGGGGTGCAATTTTGGGGCTTCTCCGTCCTTCAGAGGCATGGTGTTTCGCCCCCGGGAGGTGATTTTTTCCATGGTGTTTTCCTATTTGGGGACCGGATGTAAAGGTAGCTAAAATTCATGGCACAGCAAGAGGAAAAAGGAGCCAAAAGCATCATTTTTTATGGGTTTCAGAAGTCACGTTAGGCATTTTCGGGGTGCAATTTTGGAGCTTCTCCGTCCTTCAGAGGCATGGTGTTTCGCCCCCGGGATGTGATTTTTTCCATGGTGTTTTCCTATTTGGGGACCGGATGTAAAGGTAGCTAAAATTCATGGCAGCAGCAAGAGGAAAAAGGAGCCAAAAGCATCATTTTCTATGGGTTTCAGAAGTCACGTTAGGCATTTTCGGGGTGCAATTTTGGGGTTTCTCCGTCCTTCAGAGGCATGGTGTTTCGCCCCGGAGGTGATTTTTTCCATGGTGTTTTCCTATTTGGGGATGTAAAGGTAGCCAAAATTCATGGCAGCAGCAAGAGGAAAAAGGAGCCAAAAGCATCATTTTCTATGGGTTTCAGAAGTCACGTTAGGCATTTTCGGGGTGCAATTTTGGGGCTTCTCCGTCCTTCAGAGGCATGGTGTTTTCGCCCCCCGGGAGGTGATTTTTTCCATGGTGTTTTCCTATTTGGGGACCGGATGTAAAGGTAGCTAAAATTCTGCAGCAAGCAAGAGGAAAAAGGAGGCAAAAGCATCATTTTCTATGGTTTCAGAAGTCACGTTAGGCATTTTCGGGGTGCAATTTTGGGGCTTCTCCGCCCTTCAGGGGCATGGTGTTTCGCCCCCGGGAGGTGATTTTTTTCCATGGTGTTTTCCTATTTAGGGACCGGATGTAAGGTAGCTAAATTCATGGCAGCAGCAAGAGGAAAAAGCCCAAAGATCAATTTCTATGGGTTCAGAAGTTACGTTAGGCATTTTGGGGTGCAATTTGGGGCTTCTCCGTCCTTAGAGGCATGGTGTTTAGCCCCGGGAGGTGATTTTTCCATGGTGTTTTCCATATTTGGGGACCGGATGTAAAGGTAGCTAAAATTCATGGCAGCAGCAAGAGGAAAAAGGAGCCAAAAGCATCATTTTCTATGGGTTTCAGAAGTTAGTTAGGCATTTTCGGGGTGCAATTTTGGGGCTTCTCCGTCCTTCAGAGGCATGGTGTTTCGCCCCCGGGAGGTGAATTTTTCCATGGTGTTTTCCTATTTGGGGACCGGATGTAAAGGTAGCTAAAATTCATGGCAGCAGCAAGAGGAAAAAGGAGCCAAAAGCATCATTTTCTATGGGTTTCAGAAGTTACGTTAGGCATTTTCGGGGTGCAATTTTGGGGCTTCTCCGTCCTTCAGAGGCATGGTGTTTCGCCCCGGGAGGTGATTTTTTCCATGGTGTTTTCCTATTTGGGGACCGGATGTAAAGGTAGCTAAAATTCATAGCAGCAGCAAGAGGAAAAAGGAGCCAAAAGCATCATTTTCTATGGGTTTCAGAAGTTACGTTAGGCATTTTCGGGGTGCAATTTTGGGGCTTCTCCGTCCTTCAGAGGCATGGTGTTTCGCCCCCGGGAGGTGATTTTTTCCATGGTGTTTTCCTATTTGGGGACCGGATGTAAAGGTAGCTAAAATTCATAGCAGCAGCAAGAGGAAAAAGGAGCCAAAAGCATCATTTTCTATGGGTTTCAGAAGTTACGTTAGGCATTTTCGGGGTGCAATTTTGGGGCTTCTCCGTCCTTCAGAGGCATGGTGTTTCGCCCCCGGGAGGTGATTTTTTCCATGGTGTTTTCCTATTTGGGGACCGGATGTAAAGGTAGCTAAAATTCATGGCAGCAGCAAGAGGAAAAAGGAGCCAAAAGCATCATTTTCTATGGGTTTCAGAAGTCACGTTAGGCATTTTCGGGGTGCAATTTTGGGGCTTCTCCGTCCTTCAGAGGCATGGTGTTTCGCCCCCGGGAGGTGATTTTTTCCATGGTGTTTTCCTATTTGGGGACCGGATGTAAAGGTAGCGAAAATTCATGGCAGCAGCAAGAGGAAAAAGGAGCCAAAAGCATCATTTTCTATGGGTTTCAGAAGTCACGTTAGGCATTTTCGGGGTGCAATTTTGGGGCTTCTCCGTCCTTCAGAGGCATGGTGCTTCGCCCCCGGGAGGTAATTTTTTCCATGGTGTTTTCCATCTGGGGACCAGCCGCCGCAGCAGCAAAAGCCTCTGCAGTAGCAGGAGGAAAAGGTAGCCAAAAAATTCATAGCAGCAGCAAGAGGAAAAAGGAGCCAAAAGCATCACATCATTTTCTTGGGTTTCAGAAGTTACTTTAGGCATTTTCGGGGTGCAATTTTGGTGCTTCTCTGGATAGTGCATACGCACAAGTATCAATATAGGAGTAAATTTAAACGTCAAGTGTCGATGTTTTAGCTTGCTAAGTTTCTCAGCACAGCCATGTTTCCCAAACAAATATGCCAGACATATGGGCACCAAACATCCACTACTTTAGGTTGTGAAAGACAGGGTATAGGTTGTGAAAGACAGGGTATACTCATAACTGGAAACAAGCTGTTTGACGTCACGTTTGGCAGTTTTGCGGAATTTTGCCGGGCAAATTTCTGACAACACAGTCTTGCGATTGTTAGCCAAGCCCTACCTAAAACTCAGCTTGGTTGGTTTGAACAAGAATCCTGGTTTCTCGTAAAGTCAAATAATGATCCAAGTACCTCGAACTTGTTTTTTCTGGCGCGAGCAATTGTTTTTTTGAGCAGCACCACAACAACAACAACAACAATAATACTCAGACGACACGTTGGGCAGTTTTGGTACTTGACCGCAGCAGGAGGAGCAGCAGGCGGCAGCAGCAGCAGCAGCACCAGCACCAGCAGCAGCAGCACCAGCAGCAGCAGCACCAGCAGCAGCGCGCTAGTTAAGGGCATGGCGTTTCTCCTCGGCTGACGTTAGAGACTTTTTGTGCGCGGTTTTAGCAGCAGCAGCAGCAGCAGCAGCGGCAGCAGGCAATAAAATTTGTCGAAAAGAGACGTTAGGGACTTTGTTGGCGCGGTTTGGGAATTATGTATTCCTTCAAGGGCATGTTGCTTTTCCTCTAGCAGGTGTTTTTTTTTTCGAGCCTGTTTTCCTGCTGAAAGTTTTCATGCTGAGAGTTGAAGCAGACAAGAAAGCTGGAACTGGTCGTTTGTCATTACTTTGCATGCCATTGCGTTTGGCGGCACACGCGGCCATTCGATTGTTTGTGCTTGCTTTTGATTCGCCCAAATTCTTTGGTGCTCTGGACGCAGGTTCCACAAGTAGGGCATGTGTGCGAAAAGTGGGTTGTCGGCAGCGTCGGCCGAAGAACTCCATCCTGCATTCCCACACACGCGTCGGTGGTTGACATGTCCGGAAGCAATTGAAGTATTGATAGATTTTTGGCAAAAAGGGCATGAGTACAC